CCCCCCTCTGCCATACATTATGAATGCAGCCTAGTGCAAAATAGGTACAGTAGAAACCCGCATATATTAAAGAACCTAGAGATTTAGTCTAAATTGGTTCTAGGTTGTATAAATGGTGTTTACTTCTTAATTAGGCTATTTAGGTTCTTATTAAACAGGTTCTTATTTTCTTAAGAAAAAAGTGACTGGTTTTTGATAGGTGTGATCTTTACGGCCATTCTCAATCACACGCGCCGCACTAGTGATTGTTTCTTTTGCAACAAAGTAGCTTTTGGTGGACGTCAATCGAGGCGTTTCCATGACATTCTATAGGCACGTGCCCTTATAGCTTTGTGTTTTCTGACAATGTTATGGAAACTCCTTGTGATTGACGTCCACCAAAACCTTCTTCGTCGCGACTGAGAGGGCGCGTGATTGAGAATGGCTGTAATTATTTTATATATAAATTATGCACAATTTTTCTGCAATCTAAACAAATACAAACCCTAAATGCACTTTTAAACTACACTGTATGTAATTTACTTTGTGGAGCTTATTTTCTTTGATATATAAATTTCTAGCTTTGACTCTTCAAATGAGAACCTGCTTTGAAATTTAAGCCTAAGACAGGTTCTTATGTAAAGGGGAATAATGGAAAATCTTAGCCTAACAGGTTCTTAAAATCTAGGTTCTGTTATATGCAGGTTTTTACTGTATGCCAAATTTACTTTTCCTTGGCCCGCTTTCTTGTGATGCTCATTTTTTTTCAATACCCCTCTCCCCCCACCACCACACTGAGGTATAAAAACCTGTAGACATAATTAAATAATCATTGCATGAAAATAGGCGGCCCCCCTTTTCTCCCGGCATAACGATTGGTGACTCATTGACTCCCTTTTTGCACCAGCCAACTCCCCATACCCCTCTTAATATTGACCAGTCCCTAACCTAAGAACTTGAACAGCTAAACCTTTGTTGAGAAAGTCCCTCAAGCTACTGACTCAAACACCTCTTCTAAATTCACACCCTAAAACAGACTCTAACCTCAATTAACCAGGAAGGAGAGGAAAAACTAAAATTATAGATACAATCAGTGAATAAAAGAATGAGAAACCTATACTTAATTCTGGAAAATTATTACCATAAGCTGAAAATCCCCCTCACGGTTATCAGTGTTGTCTTGCCTAACAATTGGTGGCACATGAGCATTAATTGTCCATTCAACATTGCTAGGGGGATGGGGGCTGGAGGAGAAAAGTTGCTTCCTATAAAATTAGGCTTGTCCAGGTCTTGAGTTATTTTTTCGCCTATCGTACCATAGCTAGTACTAGCAAAGCTAAACATACATTATATTGAATGCCTTTCTCTCTTTCCTTTTTTCAAGATTAAGAAATGTTCAACTCGAAGAAAAGATAACTTTCTGGTATCATAAATTCCAAAGAAGAAGGAAGGTCAGTATTTCAAAATCTAGTTTGAAAATTGTGATATGAATACTTGTTTTCTCAGCCCAAATATGATTGTAGAATGTCCCTTATTCTTGTCAAAAACCCAGTTATTTTGAGATCCAGAAAATGCTTTTTTCAATATTGTATATATGAACAACTGCCACCATATTTGAAGAAGAACTAGTAGAGATTTTTAGAGATTGGATAAAATATAGCTTTGTCTGTCTCTTCAACCCTTTCGTCTGTCTCTTCAACCCTTTCGTCTGTCTCTTCAACCCCTTTCGTCTGCCTCTTCCACCTTTTCTAACTTTTAATGATATTCTTGCATCACTAAAACAATATTAGACACACACAACAAAAAAATATGAAATGGAACAATAAATCAATTGCTTGTAAAGGTCTACCTTTATCACTCCATGGGTTAGCTTTTGTTGCCAAGACAACCTGTAAACAAACCAATATTGTCACCTACATCATCACGTCAGCTGCTTTCTGTTTAGTCACATTCTTGACTTTGTTTTTTTAAGTAAACTTCTCAAGTCCAAAACTCCTCTTTTTCCTAAAATTAAATTTTAGGAAAAAGAGGAGTTTTGAACTTGAGAAGTTTACAATAAATTTTATTGTTTTACCTTGGGATCTCTTATCAGATTGATTTGCCCTAAGATTTGCTCTGTTTTCCCTTCACCATACCTATAGTTTGATATAAAAATGAGGGGGAAAAGTAAAAGAAAAAAGAAAGGTCTTTCTTAGCATTTTTCCCCTCGTAACTCAATGTTTTCTAAATCACTGGCTACTTACATGTATGCAGTATCTATTTCAAACTGTTCTCTTTCAATGTAGGATTTTATTAACTCAGTACTCTGTCAGCAAAGAAAACAATATAATCTAAGTCAATTATAATCTCAGAGTTAAGAAAACTACAGTGTGGGCTGGTGGAAGGTGGCTGGAACTGTATTATACCCATAGAATATACCAGTTATACCATGCTTTTTAGGGGTATCATGGAATATCGTACAAGTCACTCATATTTTATAGTATACAAATGTCAGGGTTTTCAGGCGAGTACCAAAACCTACACTCAATAAATGAAGTCACTTTTTTACACCATACATACATTATGCCAGTTGTAACACATACACATTTGTTGCTACTGGTATAACTTGATTTTCTTTTGTGTTTTCGATGTATTAAAATTTATTATACCTTAGTTATTACACTTAGTTATTACACTTTGTTTCACTGGTTTTTGAAAAACACTCTATTAGTTTAAATATCATAACCCCAATATACTTCATCCAGTTTATTACTGACCCCCTAAAAAGCTGCATATGATTAGTAACAACCCCCCCCCTTATATATATATAGCTTCTGAAAATAATGTGACTCCCCCAATTTTGCCGACCCCCCTCCCCCCCATAAACTTATAAATGAAAGCCCCCTAAGCACAGGGCTTATGACCGGGATCAGACATGTTTATCATATGAATAGCCTTACCTCAGCTAGTCCTACTTGAATCCCTATGTCCATGGTGCCAAGTGCAGTTTTCATTGGTTTAGATTTCTCAGAACCATCTTTAGATGAATCAAACCACAAAGTTTTCAATGATCAGAGTGCAGTAAACTAGGCTCGTTTGAGAGTTGCTACCCTTGTAAATTAAGGATGATTATTTTCTATGGAATTTTCTATAATTTTCAAACTGAATAAGATGTTTAAAGGGTATACTCAAAACCCGTTTCACAGCAGGGACTTTTCAAGTGCCCCATTAGACACAAATTTAATTTAGCCAAAGATCCTCAATTTCTCCCTAAATTCAGACGGCGAATCCAATAGTTGAATTTCGTAATAAAAATGTCGGCTGGCTGAAATGATAGCCGAAAGAAACACTAGTTATAAAAATAAATTGATGACAGTCTAAAGGAAGCCAATCATTTAATATATGCCATTGATACATGCGGCGAATAAGGCGGCATTAAAAAAAAAAAGGGTTCTTATATAGCGCATTTCAAGTATCTCAAAGCACTTCACATTCATAACCAGTGGAGGACGTTGCGGGCTGCGTATTAAGGCGGTATTGGCAGCCGTGCAGCTTACGATCATGAGTGTGAATTGTTAGTACTGTAGGTTAGGAAGAGTAATTGTAGGTTAGGAAGAGTATTGTTAGTACTGTAGGTTAGGAAGAGTTGGGAGACAGGGCCTACGGTTTTAAGTCCTTGTCCGAGAAGACTTGAAGGTCTAACCATTTGCAGATGTAATTACAAAGGCAGCACACCTTCTCCTCAGTTATTTTAAGACCCTGAAAGTTGGTCCGGCCTAGGCTTGAACCACGACCTCCCGCACAACAGACCGACGCTCTTACCAACTGAGCTAACCGGGTGGCGGTTAAAAAAGTAGTATTTTGGTATTTCGTATTAATTTTGTATTGGTATTAGTATTTTGGTTAACGAATCCGCCTTTTGAAGAGATATGAGAGCGTTAGAAAGTACCCTAAACTGAATCGTCAGGTCTTGAAAGACGAGAATAAGAGAGGGATGTGTATTTTCAAAGCGGCACTACTCTTCTACTCGTTAAACTCGTGAATTTAAAATGCTAAAATATTAAGTAGTCAAATAACTTACTTGTTTTAGTACAAAGAAAAGCTACACTTTTTGGTCTGCACCTTGAAAAGAGCTGGCGGATGCCATCCATAATCGAAAGATTCCTTCTTCCAATCCAGTACATCTCTAAAACAACAAGTCCTGCTTAGAAATGTATCAAGGCATGAAATTACCACCACTAACCCAGCTTACTGCTCACTACTGCAACCACCACCACCATCACCATCACCACGACCACCACCTCCACGACCACCACCTCCACCAATAGTATACGAGTACCACCACCACTAATTTAAATAAGAAAGAAAATTTGCCAAGCATTATGGTAGTGGGAGGCAAATGACACCATCATGCAAACGTCCTATTACTGCAATTTTCATAAACATGCAAACTTTGTCTCCGAAGTTGCCAGCTGAAATTTTGTTTTCCGCTTTGTAATCCCGGTCAGCCAATCAGACCACTTGAAATTATAGGGTTTCCCAGAGCCTACGATTTGGCTTGTGAGTAGGGTCTGGGAACTCTAATAATTTACAGAAATAAACAAAAATATCGTTCATTGACGAAGTAGCTGTTATGAAATAATTGATACACTTTATATTGTAAATTTTAAAAACTTTAACGGCAACCACAACCCAAGAGACTGCATGAAAATGCATGAAAAAATGTATCTGTAAGAATCTCGCTTCTGATTGGATTATTCGAGAAATGTTAAAACACCCTTGAAGTGTTCATGGTTCGAGTGTCTGCACAGTAATCTCTAAGGGCTGGTTTAAAAATAAGCGTAGGAAACACAAATGTGAACTGGGCTTGCACGAAGCATAAACACAAGCATAGGTAAACATAAGCATAAGGAATGGAAACTTTTCCATTTTCTTATGCTTATGCTTATGCTTGTGAAATCCAAAGTGTGAACCGGGCGTACATAAGCATAAGCATAAGAATGACAATAGTACTATGTTTCTTATGCTTATGTTGACGTGTGAACCAACCCCTAATTCATTTGCTTTTAATTGGTTAAAACCTCTCATGGATATAAGTGGTTAGACGACAATAATCTTCCCTGCTAGCAGAGCCTATTTTTTCTTTTGTTTCGGTGGAGTGAGAAAAGTAACTGCCGATCGCGATGTAGGACGTTATACTTGTCGCACCTGGGTAGCGTAACTTAGCAACGCTGCCATGATTTTGACAGCCGCTCTCGTCAAACAACGTTTGGCGCCACGGAGTATTACATTTGCTCATGCGCACTACATGTACCGCTTAAAAACCGGTTTCGTTCGTCCCCAATCGTGGACGGCGGTGTATCAAAGGAAACGCTTTACATCGGCAGAGTGATCAGATCAATTTGATAAATATCATGTGTTTGAGTCGTAAGGCTTAGACAAATAAAAACAACTGGTAAACAGCACTATATCAATGTCCTGCTACTCAACTATCTGATTTGTGTACTCAATATGACTCTGTTCTATCGTCTATTTTAAATAAACATGCTCCTTCACGCACTCGATACATCTCCCTTCGTCCAAGAGCTCCATGGTATACTGAYGAAATTCAAATTAATAAAACAAAGCGTCGTAATCTAGAAAGATGTTGGCGATGTTACAAATTAAGATTGACCGTGAATTATATATTGATCAATGTAATGTTGTTAAAAAACTGATCTTCGAAGCAAAAATGAGTCATTATTCTAAATTGATTACTGATGCTGTCTCTGATCTATTCCGTTCTATTGATCGATTGCTACATTGTACGCCTGAGAAAAGATTAACAACCTCTATATCACCTACAGATCTGGCTAACGATTTTGAAAAATTGTTAACTTCAGAATGGCTTTGTTCCTACGACACGTCTTTCCAATGATTTCTCTTATCTGGACTCACATAAACTGGATTGTCAACTGGAATCTTTTTTGCCTATCCCTATTTATGATTTATCTGCCATTGCGAGAAAGATGTCATCTAAATCCTGTAGTCTTGAYCCTTTTCCTGCAAGTCTCCTACTTGGACAGTTTAGTGTATTACTGCCTACTGTAATATGTGAAATCGTTAACCTGTCACTTCAAACTGGTGTTGTTCCATCTTCGCTCGCTGTTATTAAACCTTTACTGAAAAAAATCATCTCTTCAGTGATAGTGATCGTCCAATCTCTAATTTAAAGAATGTCTCCAAGATTATTGGAAAAGTTCTTTCACTTCAACGAAATGATTATCTGTCTCTGAACAATCTCCATGAACCATTACAGTCTGCATACAAAACATTTCATATCTGTGAAACTACTCTTCATCAAGTACAAAATGATATCCTCCACTCCATCGACAATCGTTCTTGTGTTGCCATGCTACTCTTGGACCTATCTGCTGCATTTGACACAGTTGATCATCAAATTCTTTTAAATCGTCTCCATACTAAATATGGCATTTCTGGCATAACTCTTCAATAATTTGAGTACCTCGCCGATCGCTTTCAATTTGTTTCCGCATCGCTGATTTTTCTTCTAAAACTCTTCAACTTGATTGTGGTGTACCTCAGAGTTCTGTACTTGGTCCTTCGTTGTATCTCCTTTATACTTCTCCAGTAGCTGATATCCTTCGACTACAATGAATGTCTTTCCACCTTTATGCCGATGACACTCAATTATATGTTTCTTTCTCCTGTACATGGTACCATGTACATGGTTCTTGAAATAAATATACTTATCATATAATTATCTATAAAATACCTATATTTCTCTTTTTCGAAAAACTGATATTTTGAAAAATATGTGAAAATATCGTTACCATGTGTATTTAAGCTATTAGTTAGTTATAATTTAAAAAAAGCTTATTAAGTTGATTTTATGGATAATTATATAATAAACAGAATATTACATGGCCGCTTGGAGATACGAAATTTATACTCTCGTGTTGAAAATCTCTCACTCTTTCGCTGCGCTCACTCGTGAGAGATCTTTCCAACACTCGAAGATAAATTTCGTATCTCCGCGCGCCCATGTAATATCCTCTATTTATTTCATCAGACAAGACGAGTCTTCAGGTCGTGTCAAGAACCAAGATTGTCTTGTTTTTTTACTGGGTTGCCTGTGGCAGCCCAGTCTAAAAATGCCTTTGGCTTTTTTTGTCTTCTCCTTTCTCGCGAAAAGTGCATTCTTGCGCAAGAGTACCCATATAAGGATTTGAATGACGTGTTCATAGATTCTGGGCTTATAGATTGGCTTAGCAGCTGAGGATGTAAGTAGCATACAATTAGGGGTTCTGCATCACCCCGGCACCGGTGCGGGACCGGAGCCAAAGGGGGGTACATTTTTAGGGGTACTTTTTAGGGGGTACGTTTTAGGCCCCGTCCACACTATGCCGGATAAATTTGAATCCGAATTTTTATTTATTCGGTTAAGCCTACCGTCCACACTAGTCCGGGCGAATCCGGAACAATTCTTCACCGAAAACGAATTTTTTGGAATGCGGTCTCCAGAGTGGAACAATTTGAAAACGCCGGCTAGCCGTATTAGTGTGGACGGAGAACATTTCGTATCCGAAATTTTTCGACTACGATGACGTCATGATTGTCATGGGAACATGACGGGAAGGCTAAGAGTTCACCGCGTGCTCAATTTCAGCTTCGATGCACATGCTCAGATGTGCAATGAAGTGTTTTTGCCGCCTCTGATCGGACTAGTGTGGACGCGAAACATTTTATCCAACGGAAAACTTTTTTTTTCGGTTTCAGTGTGAAAGTTGCGGATTCAAATTTATCCGGCATAGTGTGGACGGGGCCTTAGCCTCCTGCGGATTCGGCCAGATGACGTCATCTCTATCTCGAGGTGTTTTTCTAGTTTTCACAAGATCTTTTGACCTGCGTGATTACCAGCCGGATTCGCCTCAGTGCAACTGTCGCTGCGATATGCAAATAATGTATCGTGAGAAATTTGATTATATTATATTTATTTCGATCTCGTATTTGTGAGAAATGTTTGACAATATTTTAGTTATACTCGAAATTTTCTAAGTCGCCCAAAATCGTTATGGCCTCGATTACGCAGTTTGCGGTCTCTCTGTTCGGGTAAAAGAACATGCAGACAATGATTATCATCAGACGTGAATTTGTACAATATTGTCGAGGTTCCTGATTGCGGCTGTCTTTAAAACGGAGAACGGGGAACGGGGAACGGGGAACGGGGAACGGGAAATTGGTAAAATTTCTACGCAGTAAAATATATTTCTCGTTACAATATTCTAAAAAATCTTTTTATTTATATTTATTTTTATATTAAAGTCCGGCATACGTACTTATTTGAGCCCAGCATATCTATGGAGTCGCTGAACGTAACAGAAAAAAAAAACACGAAACGGTTTGAGAATCATTTCGGTATTTTAAATAACAAATAACATAGATACCAAACATAGGATCTTTGCGTAAAAAAATATCTCAAAGAACAACCCTCGAGACTCTCTCTCTCCTTCGGCGGGGCTAGTTGAGATTTACAAATGTGATTAGTTATTTTCTTGACCAAAATGTGGACTCAACTCTGGATTCATGTTGACACCGTAACAACTAATGACCTGAATTTATTTCGTGCCAAATGCATATGATTCTGATAAGGATCAAGAAAGTTTTGACGTTTAACAAAATTTTGTCCTGCTTCGAAGCAGGCCGACGGCGCTTTGAAGTTTGGTAGAGCGAGACACTTTTTGGTAAGTTAAAAAAATTGCGTTCGCACCAGGAAACGGCTGATGTTGACAGATATTTTTGCAAAGCAAACATAAATTTAGCCTAGTGCAAACGGGCCCTAAATCTCATCAAAAACAATATTTCAACTGACTATTTCATTCATAAATTCTATTTACGATATTGAGAGAAATATATTTTACCGCGTAGAAATTTTACCAACTTCCCGTTCCCCGTTCCCTGTTTTAAAGATAGCCCCTGAATGCAGTAAATATTGACCATAAGTGTTTTGCACTCAAGTTTATTTATTTTGCATATTTCAGTCACGACAGTACAACTTTATTGGTTTACAGCTTAGTTATTAATTTTGAACACAGTTACTGCTTAGAAGTTTCAAACTGCCTGATCTTAACGACATCCGGTGAATTGAACCGCAGTCATTTCAGCAGTAAAACGTTTTCTTTGTGTTCTGTTGATTCGTAGGGAACACGCTCGTACAAATGTCGCACCGGACAACCTCGTTCATGTTCCTTGAGTAGTGACCTTCGTGCCAATGTCAAGTTGGGCACCGCACTACAGATATTTTGGAAAACTGTCGGGGTCACCCATGTGTTCATATCCTCCAAACTTGACAATCGTAACCCTCTGCTCTTTGGTTTACCAAACAAACGTCGTGATTAACTACAAAAAATGTGTACAGAATGCTGCTGCCAGAATCATCACTCTTTCCCATAAACATGACCACATTACACCTATCCTTGTTAATCTGCACTGGCTACCAATTGAATCTAGAATTCAATATAAAATCCTACTACTTACCTTCAAAGCTCTTCATGGCCAATCTCCTATCTACATGTATATCCAATAACTCATTTCAGTGTATAAACCGAACTGTAATCTTCGTTCTTTATCACAAGTTCTTCAAAAACAGGTTTTGTCGTTTGAAATAATCCTTTTTACTAGCGCTTAGAACAGATTTGTATTTGCGCTTTATTTTTATTTTATTTTATTGTTTATTTCCTTAACCCGTTGGCTGCAAAATAATGAAATAACCGGTGCAGCAGCAAGATTGTTTATCATTATCATTATTAAAGAAAAACGTCTCTCTCTCACTCCAGAAATGAAAAACAGAAAACACTAGCTCCAATGGTTTGGAGGGAAAAAAATAGACTTTTGCTAAGAAATGACAGAGGTGTGTGCGACAGGAGTAGATAGGTAGGTAGGTTAACTTTATTTAAACACACTTACCCCGTCAACTGAAACTGATTTACACTAAATAATCCAAAATAGAGTGCAAACAATTAGAGTGATTTTCATAAACCCTTGAAATACACACTAGCCTAATACCATTTAGTAGACCCTCATTCCATTGGGTTCTTTTGTTATCATTTCACTATTACACACTAACAATGGTATTTGTTTCACGGGTTTATGAAAATCACTCTAATCCGTGAAACACTAATTACAAAATAGTACAAAATAGTGCTAATTAAATAGACAACAATGGAATTTGCTTGAAATCATGCTATTTAGTATTACTAAAGTTTCACAGTTATATTGTTTGCACCCTAATGAGCTGTGTATCAGTGGCTATTTGGGAGGTTACCGTAATGTTAAAGTTGCCCTTACCTTTTGATAGTGGTTCTGTCACCTTAGTGCAAAAAGCTAGGTCAAATAATGATAGCCTGCGTTCAGCCTGTATAACTATACTTTGCGGCAAATTTTATGATATTTCAATGTCAACCTTATGCAAATCAGGATAAATTCTGAATCAGGGTTTACAGACGCCTTCACGGTAGTGATTTTGTATTGTTCTAATATCTGAATTTTTTAAGTAATACTTACAGTATGAGTGGCCGTGTTGTAGAGTGCTCGCACTAAACCCGTGAAACAAATACTAATTTTTAGTACTAAATAGTGATAATCAAACAATAGGAAACAAAGGATTCTGTATGAATTACTACTAATTAGTACTAAATA